ATTCACCCCGGCTTTTCCTAGACCTAATTCTTGAGCCTAACTTGTTTTGCTGGTTCCCCTCCATGCCTCTCCCTTTCTCCTCAACATCTATCTTGAAGCTATTTGGAACAATTAAGTAGGAGACTTCCCTGGTGGCTCAGACGGTAAAGAATCTGCTTCCACTGCGGGAGACCCAGGCTTTGATCCCTGGGTCAGGAAGATCCCCTGGAGTAAGGGAATAGCAACCCACTCCATTATCCTTGCCTGGAGAATCCCATGGACAAGAGAGCCTGGCGGGCTACAGTCCATGGGGTCACAAAGAGTCGGACACGACTGAGTGACCAAAACACAGACACAAGTAGGAGGCTGACCTTTAATCTGATCCTTCCTGAGACACTTCATCCAAGGGAAAGTCTTACTGGGCCTTTGTTGCCCGAAGCTTTGCCTACATCTTATCTTTGTCTATTTAGAGTATAGCTTTTTAACCCTGGAAGGCCCAAGATTTCTGGGTTCTATTTCCTTTCATACCTGGTGAATTTCAGACACCAGGTAATTCTTTGCTGAGCTCATCTCTTCCTTATAAATCCTCACCACTTGCAGCCAATAGTAACCAGCAGGGGTGGCTGGTTTTCTGTCTTCCAGCCTCTTGTGGGCTGTCAGCCTGGTAGACACATGGGCTTCCTCCCCAGTCAGAGCAGGCAGTAGCTTTACCCACGTTTTGCTAGTGCAGAACATACAACTCTTGCTTTTCAAGGGTCCTACCTCAGTTTCTTTGTTTGCTTCTGCTCAAGTGCTGAGCCAACGTCACCACAGGCGAGTAACTCAATTCCTCTGGGCCTGTATCTTCATTGGCAAAATGAAGACAACCGTACAACCTACTTCATAGGGCTGTTACAGGAACTGAGTGAGTCAACGCAGGTGCTGTGTTAGGCCAGTGTGCGAGCACTCAGTACGTGCTGCCTGTTCAGATGGTTGAGGAGGAATTACATGTGCTAGTATGAGACGGACACTATGCTTATGAGAGTCTGATATACTAAGCAGCAGCCTTTTTAAAAGTACTAAAGTGAGGCGGTCACCTGCCCAGGAGACAGGATGCTCACTCACACTGGCCGGTCAGTGATTCTTCTCTACAAGCACGTCTATCTGGGAAGCCCGATTACCATCTGTGTCAGTTACCAACAGTTACGATAATAATGCTGCATCACAAATCACCCCAAAACTTGGTGGCTTAAAGTAATAAGCGTTTATTTACCTAAAGGGTCTCTGAGTTTGCAATCTGGACTGGGCTTGGCTGAGTTAGGGTTGGAGCCATCTGCCTATCAGCTGACTTCGGCTGAGGGGACAGGTATGACTTGGACACACGTCTCTCACTCTCTGGAAAGCTCACCTGGGGAGGCTTCCAGGTGGTGGCAGTAGGGTGCAAGAGCTCAGGCAAGCCCAATTGTGCAAGCGCTTCTCAAGGCCCTGCTTACTTGGTAATGGAGGTAGCAGATGGCTTCGGAGCACAGGCACTGGAGGCCCACTGTCCAGCTTCCAAGTCCAGCTGCCCCAACTTCTGGCCTCTGATTTGGGGCAAGCAGCTTAATCTTGCCAGGCCTCACTTTCCTCACCTGGACAGAGGAAATGATAGTTGTGCCCACCTCGGATCCCTGGTTTGAGGCCTGAGTGATGTCATCTGAGGAGTGCTGGGCACACCATCAGCCAACACCACTGGCCATGATGACGTCACTCAGGTGCCAGGCACCGCGCCGAGCACATCCCATGTGTGACTTTTGTCTTTGTGCCCACACATGAGGTGGCTCTTTGACCTTACCTTTTACAGATGAGACACAGAGCGTGGGAAAGGTTAAACAGCATGCCCAAGGTCACCCAGCTGACCAACGGGAGAGCCAGGATTCTACCTTGGGTCTGTCTCCCTAAACTGCTCTGCTCTATTTCTCCAACCCGTGTCCCCGGGCATCACCAAATGTGAATGTTCCACAACACAGAAAGTAACTAAAACCTACTGGGGAACTATGTTCATCGTAACGTCATAATTTGCTTTTTAATGCTACATGCTGTGATGTGTAGTTACGGAAAGTGTGTTTATGTTGTCCTCTTAGAGAATAGTCTCATCCTTGGCAGGGATATTTGGATTCGGGCGGGACCTGGGACCCAGCTGAAGACTTTACTTCTCAGGCTACAAGGAGGACTGATCTCCTCTTTGGATGCCTGATATTATTTATCTTCGATAGCTTCAACTTTTCTACCGTCCTCCCTGAAATGTCTGGTGCCTGACATTCCCCCCCCCCCACCCCAGATATTTGTTTTTTAAAGGCAGAGGAGCACTCCTTGCCTCAGGTCACTGTCCCACTGATGCCCCCACGCCTGTCGGGGGTGGGGGAGATCCTAATGCTGGTCCTCACCTCCAGAGGGTTCACTGGAAGACCAAACATGGTGGCTGAGCTGGGAGCTGATGCGCACTCTTGGCCCGACAGCTGCAGGATGGCAAGTCCTCCACCCTGACACGACCGCCTGTGCTAACAAGTTACCAGACAAGTCTCAGCCCTGCTTGCTGTTTATGGCCGTGTGAGCTTCCCCATCATGGAACCTCCCTCTGTCTAGCAGACGGAGGGAAAGATAAAAGTAAACTCTCAACTTGCCCAGCGGAATCTTTCCCTGGGGCTGTTTAAAAGTGTGAGTGAGGTTTGTACCAGTTGCCGCCCTGGCTGGAGCTGAGGAGATGGGGCACGTGACCTCCAGACGGTGGCTTATGCTGGTCAGAGGTGGCTCTGTAGTGACCCCAACAGATACGCCCCATCTAAGGTCCAGAGTTGGGCAAAGGAGATTTGGCTTATGGATTCTGAAGACTTAAAATGATTAAGAGAATAAATGCTGGGGAGAAGACAGCTTTTACTGCCCCCACTTGACGTCTGATGTGGGAGCCTGTGTGACAGGTCTCACGAGATCTCTACAGGTGGGGAGGGGCAGGGCCAGATGCCCGTGTGCACACGCTCTGAATGAGGTCAGCGAGCAGTGAGGTGTCAAACGGAGAGGAGTGAGTCCAGATTCTGGTTCCTCACAGATCCTTGGGGGTCTGCTGGCCCTCGGTGTATGTTTATTAATTTTTAAAAAATGTACTGTGGCCGGCCTAGTTTCACTCAATGCCTAATAAAGGGAAAAACTGTTTACATAGCACCCCTGGGTCTGACACCGAGCAGCTGAAGTTAGTAAGATCCTTCACTTCCAGAGATGACACAGACCAGCAGCCTGGGAGGAAAACAACCTCTTTAGAAGCATGCCGTCCCCAGGTGAAAGTGGCAGCTGAACCCCTTATATTAAATAAGACAAAAATCAGGCGAGGAGAGATCAAACCCCCAGGGGAAAAAAAGCCCAAATTGCATACTTGGCTGCGGAGATATGCTGTCCAGGAGTCCAGGATAGATGGGTCACAGCCCAACTGTCATGTGTGCTTCTGACAGTCCAGACATCTCTCTACATTAACATTCTCCTCACGGTACATCAAACAAGGCCAGAGAGATTGGCCAGAGTCTGCAGTGAGCTCCCTGGGCCATCAAAACTGGCTTCTGCCCTCCATTTCTCATTCCCATTCCTTGCTTAGATGATCATGCTACAAATTTTTCCTTCAGAGGCCTCGACACAGGGTCTGTTTTCTCTCCAGTCTTCACTGGCTGGTTAAGACACCCTGTGGTTCTTTAACAGGCCTGGCTTTCCTACCAGCAGAGGGCTCAGCCCTGCACGAAGCTCTGGTGACCTTGCTGACATGCCAGGCCTTTTGCATTAAGATACAAGTTCTCAGACTGAAGCCATGACCAAAAGCTGACACCTAACATCGACCAAGAGCTTACTGTGTAATGAGGACGATGAAAATCTTGAGACGTGAGCTTTATCTCTTCATGTCTGATCTTCAGAAATAGTTAAGACAGGGAAAGTCATCATCCCTGTTATACATACGAGGAAACTGAGGCTCAGCCCCATTCACTTACCCAGCAAGTGGGCAGTGGAGCCAGGATCTGACTTGTACCTACTGCCAGCCCTGCTTCTTCCCTTAGAAGAGCCACCTTGGGTGACTGAGTTCTTCTTTTGGGAAGCACCTGGCAGCTTCCTGTCCCCTGCATGACACACAGGTCACAGCTCAGACCTGAAGTCTCTTTGCTGTAACTTCTTAAAGCGAAGATTTCTACAGTTTCTACCAGTAAGGCAGCATGTTCTGGCAGAAAGTTCATGAGCTTTGAAGACAGACTGAACTAAGCAAAGTTTTGGCTTCCTGACTAAATAGCGACTCGATCTGGGACAGACCACTCTTTCAGAGCCCACTTTCTCATCTGCAAAATAGGCATGACAGCTTTTGTCTACAAGAGAGCTGGGAAGCTCTACTGAGATCCCGAAAGTAATGAAAGACTGGTTCTTTCCTCTCCTCTCCTCAGCCAAGGACCCTGAAGGGCGGGCAGGACCACATAGAGGTTCCGTGGGAACCCCACAACTCCACGACGTGGGAACAGGTACATCCTGCCTGTGTGTCTCTGGTATTCACCAACCGCCTGCCTAGCAAGTCTGGCCTGTTTTCTCCAATTCACACCTGTGTCCTGGCCCAATCTGGGTGACATCTGTTCTGTCTGGATGACAGCTCCGAGGGCAAAGTTCCTGCAGCAAGACAAAACCACCCTCCTAGCAACCAGAAGTCTTTTGGTTCTGGAGCTAAACACATTCTGCTAATTCATCCTAACATATTATTTCTTACACATTATCAGTTTATCAACTAAACCAATTGTGGAGACTGCAGAAATACAGAAAACGTTTGCTATAATTGATACATGGAGAGTGTGACCTTGTAAAACTCTAAACATATGCCTGCATGAAAACACACAAAATTAAAATAATTGGGTGAGGGCTGAGGAGTTGTGATTTTCCTTTTTAAAATATTCTTTAATATACACAATTATCGTTCTGTTTATAAAATGAGCATCCTAGAGAAAATCTGCTGAAGATGCTGACTCTTAAGCAGCACGCCCACACTGTTCCTACCCGCTGCCCTCATTCTGCCTGCTGGGTCTTTGAAGGGTTCTACTCAGGGGGCTTGGATCAGCTTCCCCTGGCAGAAAGAACCAACCCAGGCTGGAAGGGGGAATTTCACAGGGACAAAGCCCTGGCTCACCCAGGGAGCTTTCCGCACAGCACAGGCAGCTGGCTGCCTCTTCACACTGAGCACACTTCTGGCTGAAGCAGTGAGCTGGCACAATGCTTCCTCCTATGGAGCCAGAGAGAGAGTCAGGCCCGAGTGACAGTAACATGGACAAACTGCTTCTGAGGCTTAGACGGGAGCCGAAGGGTCTTAGCATGAGGCATACTGAACATACACATGTCCTTGGAGAGAGGCAGGTCTGTCACTGCAGGCAGGACCAGAGGTCCGGGTGGGCTGAGCATCTAAGGAGAAGCAGCACATCAAGGCCAGTACCCATCGCAGGCGATGAGCATCCGTGTAGCCCCCAAAGCCAGGCAGGCGGCGGCACGTAGCTCAATGTGGGTTTTCGAAGAGGTATTCAAGATCCGGGGCCCGCAGTCGCTGCTCTTTGTTTTTGTTCTTAGCGAAGTCTCTCAGCAGGGCCATGACCTCGTTTTCAAATATTTCTGGGGCTGGTTTTGCTTCTGTAAGGATGGGCAAAAAGAATTACGTTGGTCAGTCAACTGTCAGATATATAAGGATCTTTTTCTTTTTTAATTTAAATATTTATTTATTTGGCCGCACGGGGTCTTAGTTGCAGCACACAGATCTTCAATCTTTGTTTCGGAGGGTAGGATCCAGTTCCCTGACCAGGGATCGAATCCATGCCCCCCCGCATGGGGAGCACGGAGACTTAGTCACTGGACCACGAGAAAATCCTGATGGTATAAGGACCTTAAAGCTTGAAATTCTGGCCTGGCCTAAAACCACAGTGGGTACACAGGGCAGCTGCATTCTTTCTCTGGACACACACGCAGCCTGCACCACAGGCTGGCACCCTACGGCGGCCGGTATCTGTAAAGAGTGTTACCGGAGCAGCTGCTCTCACTTGTTTACATATTGTCCGTGGCTGCTTTCGTGCGGCGATGGCAGGCTGAGCAGCTACCACGAGACCATATGGCTGCAAGCCGACAGCATTTAGTATCTGGCCCAGCATTTATTATTCGGACAGGCACAGCTGACCCCTGGCCTGTCCAGCCTTGGCTGTTCTGTTTTGCTTCGCATTCGGTACTCCAGTTGTTTTTGGAATACTGTGTTTTTCCTTCTAGTCTATTAATTTCCTGAGGCAAAAGTCCTTCGATGTTAAGTGATAGCAACTGATAACTCCGGGAAACTTAAAACATAAAAGAATTTACTGAAAGGCTATAACAGAGGCCATAAAACTGACATGAACCTGGAGAACCAGATTTGGATGGAGAGGCAACAAAGGCCCCGAGAGAGCAGAGAGGAGAGGATGCCAGCCTCAGGGTGGCAGGAGAGAGTCTGGCAGATGCTGCACACCTCCAACCTTCTTTCCACCCCCGAGTCTCTCACTTAAGCAAAGCCTCCCAAACAAAGCCTCCTATTGGGAAAGCTTGGGTACTAAGCTTTGGAATTACCCTCCTAGCAACACTAAATACAACGTTAGGAGAGGGCATTCCTCAAAGCAATGTCTGATTTTCCCTCATTCGGCACACAGCTGGCGCCTGGTGGGCCTGGCGTCTGTTGTTTTGTGTGACAATCAGAGTAAGATCCAGGCGATTTCAGTTTCCCCCTAGAATGTTGAAAACTGGACAGAACACCCCACTCATCCCAACAAGAAAAAGTCAGATGAACTAGAAACATCATAACTTTTTTGAAGTCATTAGAGAGCTGAGGTCACAGGCACCCAAAGAAAATAAAACCTAAGGAAAGAAAGGGCCCGCAAAGGAGAAAACGGACATGAACACACACGCTCACTTGAGAAGGCACAGGCAGAAGGGGCACTGGGCACCACACAAACAGGCAAGAATTGAGCTAAAACTGTTCATCAGCTGCTGAACGCCAAGTGCAGGTGAGCACGAGTGTAAAATCCCCGGGAGCCACAGACACAAGCGGAATCTGCCCCAATGGGCAGGTTCTTCCCAACAACCCCTCACTGAGTATGCTCACGATGAAGACAGCGTCCAGAGCAGGAGGCTGCAGAAAGCCTCCCTCAGTAATGCAGGCCAGGAGTAGGGGAAAACACTGCCCCACCCCCATAAACCCCAGCCTAGTCCTTCTTCTCTACACAACAAAAGCTTCAAGGGTCTGGGAATAGGTCAGTGAGCCCTGTCTCCTACAAGGCACATGTGAGGACCCGCCTGGGCTAGTGAAAGAATAAAAGAAAAAAATCCTCTACCCCTGTGGGACCAGCAGGATCACTGAAAAAGGCCCTCCACCATGACTCATGGTCACAGGGCCGGAAGCTGGACCAGGACAACAGAGAACTGCCTCCCGATCTCCTGTCCCCAGACTAATAAGCACCACCTGGAAATCAGCAGGTTTCTACTGCTGGGGGAGGGCAAGGGCACAGAGAGCCCTTTTGAGGCACAGAAATGCAGGAAAGTTCACATGATACCACGTGTGTCCCTGGTGGCTCAGTGGTAAACAATCCACCTGCCAATGCGGAAGACATGGGTTCAATCCCTGGGTCAGAAAGACGCCTGGAGAAGGAAATGACAACCTACTCCAGTATTCTTGCCTGGGAAATCTCATGGACAGAGGAGTCTGGTGGATCACAGTCCACCGGGTCTCAAAGAGTCAGACATGACTGAGCACACATGTATGCATATATACTGTAAATCCTAGGGCAATCACCAAAAATATTATAAAGAGATATAAGAAACCAATGGTGGAGATAAAATGAAATTTTAAATACTCAAAAAATCCACAGAAATAGAGGGGGAAGAGAACAAAAAACAGACAGCAGAAATAGAAAACAACAACAAAAAAAGATGGTAAGTTTTAATTCAATCACATTGGTACTTATATGCAAATGGCCAAAACACACCAATGAAAAGACATAAGATCAGATTAAAAAGAATGACAATATAAGCTATCTATAAGAAGCTCAACAACAACAACAAAAGAAGCTCAACTTCAATATAAAGACAAAGATACATTAAAAGACTTCCAGGTTGGCCCCAAATATTTCCCACTCCCCTGTGTTCAAGCCTGTGGAAACTAAGTGGAATTATGGTGTATAATTTCTTGAGAAGGGTCTATTAAAAAATGGTGTGTGCTCTCTTACTCTTTTTCCCTGGCTGAAAGATAGACATGACAGAGCGAGCCTCGGCAGCCATCTTGAGGTCATGAGGTAGCCAACACGGGGGACGGTGAAGGAACAAGTCAAGAGGAATCTGGCCTTAATGACTCTGAAACCCCTCTGTGCGCTCTGGAGGGCCACTCTGAACTTCTGTTAGGAGAAAGAAAAATGTACTTCTGTCTTAAGCCACTGTTATTTTGGGGTTCTTTTACTCACAGCCAAAGCTAACCCTAACTATACACAGTGAGAATTCATTCCTCACAAAGCTGGTGCCAGAGAGAGACTCCCAAGGACTTCATGCTAGGCAGCCAGAGCCGTCTCGTTCCACTTCATTCCTGCCCTGGTTTTTCTTCAACTTTCCCTTTGATGCTAGGAGTTTCTCATACAATTTCACTAAATTCCCTTTTTGCTTAAGTTAGACGGAATCAATTTCTATTGCTTGCAAACAAAGGACCTTAACTTATAAGACAAATTTTGCACATTTCGGAAAAATCTGAAGAGAGGCTGGGCTGAGTGTCTACTAAAGAAAGACAAATTGCCCATGATACCTTTCCAGACTCAAATCAGCCCACATCATCCTGTTTTTCACCTTATGCCGCTTATCATGCTCAGTACCTGTAGCCCAGTAGTAAATATCCCAGTCGTTACTGGGTTCATTAATCAGGCGATCGTAGAGGTTCAGCTGTTTCTCTGTCATGTGCTGCAGATGTTCCTTAGCGAAGAGGCTACCGTCAAGAAAGAGAAAGAAGTTGAAAAGGCTGTCTTTAGCCAGAGAGAAGCAACCCCCATTCTCCTCTTCCCCTACCTAAGCAGGATGCAGTTTTCCAGCATTCCCCTCTTCCTGCTCTCGTACAGCAGCCGGGCTCGTTTGGTTTCTATAGATTCATCAGTTCGCTCCTGCCATGGAGGTAAAGGGATTTCAATCATATCCTTCTGGGAATCTGTCGGGCTGTCACCTCTGTAGCAGCGTCTGCATGATGTCATGCTGAGTGAAGGAGACACTAGGTGGCGCCTTGACAGAGCAAGCATCTGAAACAAAAAAGCCACAAACATCTTTTATTCTCTTTTTGGCCAAGGCATGCAGGATCTTAAGATCCCCAACTAGAGATTGAACTCAGGTCCGTTAGGCTGAAAGCCCAAGTCTTAACCACTGGACTACCAAGGAACTGCCTCCCATAAGTACCTTTTTAACAAGGATGACCATCCTTGTCATTCACTCAGCACATAAACTGGGTGCAAAATGCATCTGGTCTCCTTTAGACCTTAAGAAGTTGCGTTAATGATACAGCAATTATAAACATTTATACAACTAATAACATACCATTATAATATATAAAGCAAAGATGGACATAACTGAGAGATAGTTCTACAATAGGCATACAACCCCAAACGGAAAGAAGTGGGAAACTTAATAACCAAACCAGAACAGCCCCAGCATTCTCCTTCCAAAGAGCAGAGGAACTTTCTCTTCTCTCTCCCTCCTTTCATGAGCTTCTTGGAGTGAAGAATTTCCTGTTAAGTTGGGATCCTTTCCTTGTTTTATGAAGTCTGTAGGGATTGCTGCTGGGTCTTTTAGGAGGAAAAGCTGGTGGTGCCTCTGACCATGTATTTTGCCCCAAGGAGATGAAGACAGGTTTTCTTAGGACTAGACCAGGCTCAACACAGAATCATAACTTAGGACTTGTAACAAAGTTTATTTACTTCTATGGGAAACAAGAAAAAGTTGTTACAAAATTAAAAAAAAATTTCCATTAAAAATTAAAAAGCAAAAAAAAAAAAAGAAGTTGCGTTGACTTTATAATAACTATAGATGGAGTTTAATCTTTAAAAATTGTGAACTACCATATTATGCATCTGAAACTTATAAAATATTGTAAATCAACTACACCTTAATCTAAAAAAAAAAAATTATGTTGATACTGTCCCAACTTTACAGCTTAGGAAGCTGAGACTCAGAGAGGTTAAATGACTCACTAAGATCACCCAAATATTAAGAATAATTCCTGAGGGTTGGAACCCAACTCTGACGGCAAACCTGTTCTTAACCACTGCCTTTCCAGAAAGTCTCCAATAGAAATATTTTCTTCTTTCCTTGCACTCCTTTAGAAGTCTCACAATATGGTTTGCATTCTAGTCATGTGCCTGTGCTAAAATCTGAGCACACAGTGATGGCAGGGCCTCAAACTCCCCAAGGTTTCCCAACCTAGAGAAGGGCAAAAACTATCAAGATGCAATGAGAAGGTGGTAACGTCAGCAAGATGGTGTTAACAGGAAGCCCCACACTTTCCTTCTCCTGTGGAGACACCAACTCTCAACACCACACATGGACCAGTTTCCTTTATGAGAAATCCAGAAACCAACTAAGAGGCTCCTGAACCCCAGGTGAGCACAAAAACAGCTGCATCACAGCTAGAAAATTCATGGGCCTCATTCACCATAGTCCCTGCCCCTGGCTCAGCCCAGTGCAACTGGAGAAAATTCTCAGCCACCAGCTTCTCCCTGGGGAGGGAATGAAAAGACTGAAACATATGTCCAACATGTGACCTTTCACAGGGAGGCCTGACTAGTTTCCATCCTGTTTGAATCGAAATGTGACAGAAAAAGTGCCAGGTTGGGGGCTGCTGAGAACTAGGTGAGGGTTTGGACTAGCACACCCTTACTTGCCATCGTCCCTACCTGTGGCTCAGCACAAAACTATAAGAAAACCCCCAATTCTTGGCTTTTCTCTGGGGAGGAAGAGTTTGAATGTGTGTCCAATGTTTCAGCTTTTTGAGTAGCTGCCTGAAAGAAAGTTTTCTTTTTTGCTTGTCTCAGGGCACTAACAGGACCCAGTATACTCCAGATATCTGGGGGTCTCTGAAAACAAAAAAAGCTGGGTGGCTTGCTGCTGCTCTGAGGACCCATGGTGCAGCAGACAGAGGCCAACAGAAAGAAAAAGGAGCATGCATCCCAAACTCCTGCTTTCCAAGGAGCTGTACAAGAGACTAATTTCCGTCTTGGCCAACCTGCAGCACTCATGGGACCTGGGATACTCTAGAAGCCTGGAATGGGCCGAGAAGAGCTGGAGGCTTGCGGCAGCTCCAGAGAACCTGCAATACCATAAACAGACACAAGAGGGAGCAAGAGATTATGCGCACTTAAAAAAGACGACAGCAAATCCCTCTGGTTGGGAATTTACGTCGTCCACAAGTCTAGAGAAGACATTTCCATAAAAAAGGTTTGAGAGGCCCCCAGATTCTCTGGCAGGACTGATGGGAAAAGATCTTTTCATATACAAACAAAAAAAATGGGAGGTGGTTATTTTTTCAAATGCGTGGATCTAAGCACAAAGTTCCAAGGTGCATGAGAAATAGCAAAACAAAGCCTAACCAAATACACAAAATAAACTTCCAGCAACCAATCCTGGAAACAGACATATATGAAATTACCTGACAAATAATTCAAAAAAAGTTGTCATCAAGATGTTCAGTGAGCTGAAGAAAACAACGCATAACCAAATACTGATAGAAAAAGTTTTTTTAACTGGAACTAAAGAATAACAATTTTGAAAAACCACAGAGGTTAAACAGCATACTTGATCAAACAGAAAAAAATCAGTGAACTCAGTTTACTTGAGACTATCCATTCAGAGGAAGAAAATGAAAAACAAATAAGTGAAAAAAAATTAAAAAAAAAAAGAAAAACAAATGAGTGAGATAAGCTTGTGAGACATCACCAACCTGACCAATATAAATACTATGGGAGTCCCAGAAGGAGAAAAGAGAAAGGGGCGGGAAGATTATTTGAAGGAAAAATGGCTCAAAACTTTCCAAATTTGGGGAAAGAAATGGACATCCAAATTGAAGAAGCAGATGACACCACCCTAATGACAGAAAGTGAAGAGGAACTAAAGAGCCTTTTGAGGAAAGTGAAAGAGGAGAGTGAAAAAGCTGGTTTAAAGTTCAACATTCAAAAAACTAAGATCATGGCATCCAGTCCCATCACTTCATGGCAAACAGATAGGGAAACAAAGGAAACAGTGAGAGACTTCATTTTTGGGGGCTCCAAAATCACTGCAGATGGTGAGTGCAGTCATGAAATTAAGACGCTTGCTCCTTGGAAGAAAAGCTATGACAAACCTAGACAGCATATTAAAAAGCAGAGACGTTACTTCTCCAACAAAGGTCTGTATGATCAAGGCTATGGTTTTTCCAGTAGTCATGTATGGATGTGAGAGTTGGACCTTAAGGAAAGCTGAGCACCGAAGAGTTGATGCTTTTGAACTGTGGTGTTGGAGAAGACTCTTGAGAGTCCCTTGGACAGCAAGGAAGTCCAATCAGTCAATCCTAAAGGAAATCAATCCTGAATATTCATGGAAGGACTGATGCTGAAGCTCACCTGATGTGAATAACTGACTTATAAGAAAAGACCCTGATGCTGGGAAGGATTGAAGGCAGGAGGAGAAGGGGACAACAGAAGATGAGGTGGTTGGATGGCATCACCGCGTCAATGGACATGAGTTTGAGCAAGCTCCGGGAGTTGGTGATGGACAGGGAAGCCTGGCATGCTGCCGTCCATGGGGTCACAAAGAGATGGACACTGAGCGACTGAACAAACAAAAAGGAGCCAAAGGACAGTAGAAAATAACACAAAAGCAAATGAAAGCACAAAGCTCACTGGTAAAGGTATATTATGACAAACACAGGCTACTATAACACTGCAATGATGGTAGGTAAATCATGTTTAATTCTGACTTAAAAGTTAAAAGACAAAGACATTTTAAAAAAAACTATAAAGTACACTAGTGGATACAGAATAAAATATGTCATTGTAATATCAGTAACATAAGGTGGGAGGAGTAAAAGGAGTTTTTGGATGGGACTGAAGCTATTATCAGCTTAAAATACATTATAAAATGCTTAATGCAAGCCCTATGGTAACCCAAAGCAAACATTTATGCACAACAGAAAATGAGAAAGGAATCAAAGCATGTCTATAGAAAAAAAGTCAATAAAACACCAAAGATGACAGCAAGAGAGGAAAAGGACACAAAGCTACAAGACTGAAAACAATGAACAGAATGGCAACTCTAAGTCCTTCTCTATCAGTAATATTTTACATGTAAACAGGTTAAATTCCCCAATCAAAAGACAGAGAGAGACTGAAGGGATTTTTAAAAACCCACAAAATCCAACTATATGCCTCACAAGAAACTCATTTTAGCTGTAGGCTGAAAGTGAAAGTGTGAAACACATTCCACTGCAAATAGAAACCAAAAGAGAGCACAGATGGCCCTACTTTCATTAAACAAAATAAACTTTAAGTCAAAACTATCAAAAGAGATTTTAAAAGACCATGAAATAATGATGAAAGGGTCAACTCACCAAAAGGGTACAACAATTATACATACAACCAACATCTGAACACCCAAACATATGAAGCAAATATTGACAGATCTGAACAGAGAAACTGCAACACAATAGTTGGGGATTTCAAAAGCCACTTTCAATATGCATAGACCATCCAAACAGAAGATCAATGAGGAAGTAGAGGACAGGAAGAGCACTGTAATCCAAATGGGTCAAACATACATATACAGAACATTCCACCCAACAGCAGCAGAATACACATTATTTTCAAGCACTCTTAAGAACATTCTACAGAACAGAGAGCATGTTAGGTCACAAAATGAGTTTTAACAAAAAAGATCGAAATCATACAAGGCATCTTTTCTGATCACAACAGAATAAAACTAGAAATCAAGAGCAGAAGCAAAACTGGAAAATTCACAAATAAGTGAAAATTGACCAACACCCTCACTCTTGAACTGGGTCAAAGGAGAAATCAAAAGGGAATCGGAAAACATCTGGAGACAAAAACACATCACAAAATCATGAAATTGGCAAAGAGCAGTACTAAGAGAAAATTTTAAAGTGTTAACAGACTATATTCAGAACGAAAAAAGATCTTATGAAACCATGTGAAACCACGACAGACACTAGAGTAGACTTAAAAAGAACAGAGAGGCTTAAGAACAGAGACAAAAGGCTCCCAGAAGCTGTCCGGTCAGTTCCACCTGGCAAATAGGTGACATCTGAATTGGGTTTCTCACGAAGACTGATGGGTCAACGATATTACGAGACAAGCACACAGCCGGCTCAGGCCAGGGTGGATGTAACCTGAATCTCCTACGTTGCAAGATCAACCTCTCCTTGGGTCTGCCCTTGCCTGGGCTATGTAAGACAGGTAGATGCTTCTCTCGGTCTCCACAACTTCAGAGGAAGACAAGACACAGTTCCCACTGTGGCCTGCCCAGGAGTCTAAAAGCCCCATTCTCCTCACCCGCGCAAGAGCCGGGAAGACAGCGACCACCGCCATTTTTCCCAACCCGCATCAAAGGCCTATGGCCCGGCCACTTCCGGACACTTTCCAACACCAGTGCCGCAGACAGCAGCGCCGAAGACTTGAGCAGGAAGATGCGTCCTCGCGTTTGGCGGAAGTGACTGTGCGTGTGACGCCGGCGGCGGGGGGGGGCGGGACCTGGGGCCGAGAGCGGTTCGCGCGCTTCGGGCCTAGTCTAGACTCGCCGCCGCCGCCGCCATATTCCCGGTAACGGGGGCGCGCGGCCGGGGGCCGGCTGGGCCGGAAGAGGGTTTGGGGACGGCGCTGAGGCGGGGAGGGGGTCGGTTGAGTTTGGGGCAACCGGAATTGGCGGGCGGCGGGAGGCGCGGGCCTTTGAGGGAGGGAGCCGAAGGCGTCGGGCCGGGTCTGTGGGGAGGGAGCGGGGCGGGCCTAGCCGGGGGCGAGGACTAGGCCTGGGTGAGGAGCGGAGGTGGCTGGAGCTCCGGGAGCCGCAGGGACTTATAGCCCGGGCAGCTTGGGGCCTCGGCAGGTGCGGCGGACTGGGCCTGCGGGCTTCGCCGCTGTCGTTCTTCGCAGCGCCATCCGAGGGCCCGTAGGAGCAGAGGCCTGGACTTTGTCGTCGCGCCACGGGCAGCTGCGGCGCAGCTCCGGTCGGGCCCGAGGGTGATGGGCAGCGAGCCCCGCGAGCCCCGGTGGCCTGGGAGAGCGAGGGGCGGTGCGAGGCCGGGGGCGGGGCGGAGCGGGTGGGGCCGAGCTCAGACTGCCGGGATGCTGCGTCTCTGGAGACGGGAGGTTGGCAACCAGTGCCCTCCTTCCAGCCCGGGACCCTTTTGCCTTGTAACTCTTGCTTCTTTCTGGATACCGCAGTGGCATCTTTCTTGCCTTGTCCGTTCTCCGGGCGCGAGATCTTTCTTCCGAAGCCATGTCAGAAGGAGTTGACTTGATTGATATATATGCTGACGAGGAATTCAATCAGGTGAGGAGTCCTCGGGAGCAGTGGGATTTTCCTGTATCAGCTGAGGAATCACTTGCAGCAAACTTGCAGGGGTCTGAAGCTCTTTCAGTGGTTGAAGATTTGCTCGGCCTGAACACGTCTGTCAGATCTAAAATCTTCCCTCTAGCACAGACTTCCAAGACTTATGCCTATTCCGCTTTATGTCAGCTAAAGCCTCCAGGCTTACTTTTAAAAGATTTGATTTAAGAGCAATAAAAAATTAGGTTTAATAGAGTGGTATATCAACCTATGGAACTTGCTCCTCCAGGAAGCCAAAGTTGGACGTCAGTCTCCTGGAAGACTAGCCACATTTAAAAATCAGAATTAGGTGTTCTGTAGCATTCATGAAGACGGTGTTGATACGTGTTCCTTTGAGAGTCTCTCAAATTGCAGCTGAAGAAATGTAGTACCCCTTCCCTTCATAAGGCAGTGCAAGTATGAAAGATAACTTTAACATTTAATGTCGCTTGTTTTCCAGTTGTTTTCAGCCTTCCTTCTTTCAGAAGTAGCTTGACTCTAGTTTTGAGAAGTCCATAGGTTTTTCAATGTTAGTTTTTTAGTAATAAACTTTATTGATGATGTATTTGGTGGGATGAGGTAAAGGTATTGGACAAACCAGTTCAGAAGCAGATAGAGACCCACTCACATACTCTTGAGTTCAGTTTGTTGATCTCTTTATGATATGTCAAGAAAATTATACAGTGATCTCCCTTGAAACAGTCATCTCATATACAGGTCAATTCTGAGCTCTTGTGATCAGATCTCAAGAATGTTCCAAAGTCTGTATTTAAAACTTAATATCCTGCCTGGATTATTTTCAGCACTATTCTACTTGAGTAAATTGGTTTTTCCCATTTTCATCTTTCAATGGCTATATGTAAGGACGTATAAAGAGGATTTAAAAACAAAACCAGGCTAGAGAAGGAAAGCGAAGAAGGCAGTGGCAACTGACTCCAGTACTCTTGCCTAGAAAATCCCATGGATGGAGGAGCTTGGTAGGCTGCAGTCCATGGGATCACTAAGAGTCAGACAGGACTGAGCGTCTTCGCTTTCACTTTTCACTTTCATGCATTGGAGAAGGAAATGGCAACCCACTCCAGTATTCTTGCCTGGAGAATCCCAGGGACGGAGGAGCCTGGCAGGCTGCCGTCTATGGGGTCACACAGAGTCGGACACGACAGCAGCAACTTAGCAGCAGCAGAAAAGGAAAGTGCTCTGATTGGACCCTGACTTTTTTTTTTAACTTTTTATTTTGTACTGGGGTATAGCCTATTAACAATGTTGTGATAGGGAAGGGACTCAGCCACACATGGATCTATTCTCCACCAAACTTCACTCATATTCAGGCTGCCATAAAACATTGAGCAGAGTTCCATGTGCTGTACAGTATGGACCCTGACTTTGATATGAAGCTGCAGACAAGGTTTATATATGCTATATGTGCTGTTCCTTTCACTTGGCAAAAGTTGATCATTTTCCCATGTCTTCTCAGGCAAACTGCAGTCGTCTACATGTGGCTGCTGATTAACTTAAATACATGAAAATCTTTCTTTAAATTTCAAATAAGTCAATTATTTATGGATAAAAAGAAAGACTTAGTATATGTAGTTACAAACCATTTGCTTTCCTGAATTTATCATATTACTTTGAATCAAGACTTTTACTACTTTTTGTGTTATTCTTTTAAATATAAGATAGCAAGAAAAAAAGGCTCCCATAATTCTTTTCTATTATTAATTTTAAAAACCTCGTTTCCCTTAATTTCATTATCTGTGGGTTGATGACAGTGCTGCTGCTGATTCAGTCTGGGAAATGCGTAGAACAGGGTCCTTGACCACATGTCTAGCCACATGTGAGATTTCATAGTTTCTTTTTTTTTCCATAGTTTCTTAAGCAGCATAGCTTGTTGGTCATAGACAAGACATAGGTCTCATCCACTGAGTTGTTGGTCTCAACAATTTGGTCTCTGGTCTCCTCAGTTAAACAGGACTGTTTTGTGTGAAATCAAGTAGATATTTGTACCACAACGACAATTTGGTACTTGGTTAAGTTGAAGAAAGTATAGATTTTAAATGTCTTATGTCCTGGGGAAGGTCAGGAAAGAATGCTTTTTCCCCCACAAATGAGTTAATTTTTAGCAAAGCAGGTTTTAGTAGAATTTGGAAGCTGCTGGAGAAGTGGTAAAAGCTCTGTTTGACTGGGACTTTTAGAAGTAAGCTTAGATTGAAGGCTGCCAGTACAGATTATGTTTTAGAATGTTATAGGAATGTTACTAATTCACCCCAGTTCACCCCTGCACAAGAACCTTGTCATGTGTACTCTGCTCCCCAGGGGAAATAAGCTCTGTTCCTAGATGGAACCCTGTGGTGCTGACTCCAGATCTATTACTATATGTGCTGCAAAAGCCTTTTTTTGCAGAGCTACTTCACTCCTGTTAGGGAGGAAACCTTGGAGTTCTAAATAGGGGCGCTCTTGGGCTGAGGAGAACAACTCGAAAAGTGAGTGAAAGCTGCCATCCCCGCTGAGTGTTTTGTCTCTTTTCTGTTTCTTGCACTGAGACAGGCACTTTGCACAGTATAGTATGCTCAGTTTCCTCCTTACTTTCATCAGCAAATAGTTACTGAGCTACTTCTGTTTGCTAGGCATTGTATTAGAACTGGTGAGATAAAAGGGGGAAAATGGAGTTGTGTGCTCAAAAGAGGTTCCATGTCTGGTGATCGACAGCAGTGTCCATTGATAGGGAAGGAGAGTGAGGTGAGAACTGTGGGAAGAGTAACCACAAAGCCAGGAGCACTGAGCTTTGGTTACAGTTACGAGAAACTTGTGTCACATAGGTTGCTTTCAGAAAAAGCTTTATTACTGCGTCTTCCCTGGTGGCTCAGACAGTAAAGAATCTGCCTGCGGTACAGGAGGCCTGGGTTCGATCCCTGGGTCAGGACATCCCCTGGTGAAGGGAATGGAAACCCACTCCAGTATTCTTGCCTGGAGAATTCCATGCACAGAGGAGCCTGGCAGGCTAGAGTTCATGGGGGTCCAAAAGAGTCCGACACGGCTGAGTGACTGACGCTTTAGATATCAGGAAAGGGCTGGCAAGTAGGAACATTGAGCATTCAGGTGGGGAAGTTCTTATTTAAATTCAAAATCATGCAAGTTCTCTTTTGTAAACCAAGAAGCTTCCTGAGACAATCACAGCTGTTCCTCTTCTATAAAATACAAACTTCTCCCTGGTATTAATTCAGTATTAAATACATCTTTTTTAATCTCCTTGAAATGAAATCTTTGACATCAATGCCTGTAAAATACTATATTTTTTCATTTAATTGTAGAATTAGATTTTGCTTTAACTGCATAAATCATGAGCTCATTTGGTAAGAAAAACCTCAGGTCCTTACCTGTTTTCTTGTCTTAGCCCCTTGATGCTCCTTGCAGATTTAGATGCAAATACAACTTGATACATTATTTCTTCAACAAAATCTTCAACAGAATTCTCAATAGGTCTGCCTTATGCATCAGATCAGTTCCTACAAAATTCTTTGAACTGAGGCTCTATGGCCCAGGGAGACCATTTGAATCTTGTGACAATTTTGCATTCCTTGAATCCTTTTGCATTTCTTAAGGTGGCAAAATAATGCATACACCAGAGTCTTCTGGGATTGAGACTGTCATATTCTCTAAGGAACTCTGAAAGAGTAGATTGTTCACTGAGGCTTACAGTATGGGTGATTTCCTGGTGATACCTTTGATCTCTGAGCTGCCCATGTCTGCATGTTCACTACTCAGTTATCAGCAATAGTCTTTGTATTACACCGTTTGGACATGCATCTCTGAATCACAGATGCTTCATGGAACGAATGCCAGTTTGGTTCCACTGACCATTCAAGATCGTGAGTTTCCTTATTTAAGTTCCGTTTCACAATCCTTGATTAATTTTAAAAAAAGGTACCCTGGTTTGAAGTAGTGTTGTTTTAGGATAAGAGCATTGAAGAGGATCAAGTGGTTTCTAAGTCTTCTCTCTACCTTGAACCGTAAGAGCAAATCATATGTAGTGCATAAATAAATAAATGATTTGTCTAGTTAGGATTGTTTGAAACTTAGACTGTCAAATATTTTACACACAAAATACTGAGTTACTAGCTGTGACTTTCTTCACCTTTTAAGTTTATTATCCACCCTGTATTCTCCAGTGTTAGCAGCTCCCCATCATACTCAAACTTTTTTATGCAAGATCCTTATTTATAGATTTGACTACCTAGTGTTCTTGGGCTTATTTACCTCCCGGATTCTTTTTCATGCTTTTTAAGTTGTCTAAAAAGTTTACTGTCTTTTCTCTTTCTGAGATTTTCACAAGGTTCAAACTCTTCTTTGGGCTTCTGGAGTATTTGTAACATTTGAAGTTACTTACATTATCTTGCTGTGCATGGTCTTCCCTTTTACTTCAGATAAACTGAGAAACTAAAAGATTGTTTCCAGAAGTTTCTGATCATATGTAGGTCTAAGAATGTATTTTGTAGTGAGTCCTCTAGTTGCATTCCAGAATCAGGAATTCTTGTGATGGGGTTGAAGGGAGAAAGTTACTGGAGCTTCTGCACCTGAGGTGCATTAGGAGAAATGATTCTCCTTCAGGGAACTAAGCAAGTTGCCAAATCAGGCTCTTTTTTTATTCCCTTTGTGTAGATCTTTCTTTATTCCCGTTTGTAAAAGACAGCAATAACATGAATGAGCTATAGTGTCCCTAAAACACTCCAAATGTCTCCTTGTATCTGTTTTTTGGCAGTTTCATCTTTAGCACTGTTTGGATGTTTTAGAGTGTTACCTGGGGAAGAAAAAAACTTGTTTGATCCTTAAAATAAAAAGATCCTCTCTAAGATAATAACACTGAAAACCCTGAAACATTAAGTTCCCTTAATAGTAGTTCTTATGATTTTAGGAGTTTTGATATGTGTTAGCTTGGTCTGCTATAACAAAATACTAAAAATGGGGTCACTTATAAACAACAAATTTATTTCTCATAATTCTAGAGGCTAGAAGACTGAGATCAGGTTTGTGTTCTGGTGAGCGGCCTCTTCCAGTTGCAGCTTCTGCCAGCTTGTATCCTCACATGACGGAGAGTAGAGCAAGCAAGCTCTAATTCTTACAAGGGCACTAGTACATTTCATAGGCTCCACCCTCAAGACCTCATCTCATTTTAATTACCTCTCAAAGGCCCCACCTCCTAATACCATCACATTGGGGAAAAGTGTTTCAGTATGGGTGTGTGTGCTCTGACTCTTTGTGACCCTATGGACTCCTCTGTTGATGGGACTCTCTAGGCAAGAATACTGGAGTGGGTTGTCATGTCATCCTCCAGGGGATCTTCCCGATCCAGGGATTGAACCTGTCTCTGTCTCCTGCGTTGGCAGGTAGATTCTTTACCACTTTGCCACCTGGGAGGCCCTTCAAGGAGGTGTGTGTGTTGGGGGCGGGGGGGGAGCACATACAGTCTAATACAGTCTATAACAGTAATATGTAACAGACAAAAAGTGTATCTCACCTATCTTCCAGAATGCACGTTCATATTCTAAATGGTTAGTATAATACAGCTTATGATATTTGTGCTTGTTCTATTTCCTGAGCTTTATGTTTTAGAGAACTTTGACTGCTTTTGTATATCATTAGACATCTCTGGTATTGTTCAGAGATGTTTCTTTTATAAATGTCATGGTAATGTGTTGGATCTGCACGTCATGCAATAGAATGTATAAAGGAAAATCCCCCAGTTATTCACTTCCTTTTTATTTTATTTATTTTTTGATAGTTAATAGAAAGATGGGATTATATACTGTGAGCTTTAGAGCATTATTAAATAGATTGGTAAGTTTTGTGTAATTCTTGATTTTGGAAATAGTGTAAGATGTTGAAAATTTCATCAGTGTGAGTGTGGTCTTGAGAAGCTGGCTTCCCTGATGGCAATGGCAGATGTATCTCTGTGCTTTCTTGCTGTGCTGCGCTTAGTCTCTCAGTCGTGTCTGACTCTCTGCAACCCGATGGACTGCAGTCCACCGGGCACTTCTGTCCTTGGGGATTCTTTAGGCAAGAATACTGGAATGGGTTGCCATGCCCTCCTCCAGCGGGTATTCCCAACCCAGGGATTGAACCCCGCTCTCCCATGTATTGCAGGCGGATTCTTTACTGACTGAACCACCAGGGAAGCCCTGTGCATTCTTAGTGTGTTTGTTTAATCATCATGTACATTTTGAGTCTCACAGTTAATTAAAGCTAGAAACACTACAGACTCCTAATAGGGTCTTAAGAGAAACACCTACATAAACATAATTTTTAAAATTGCTTTACATGGGGAAGTTTTTTGAGTATGACGGGAAGTTTTTGTTTGTTTTACAAAGTATTTGACTGTGGATTGTAAGTAAATTAGAGTGAAATAGAATGAACAAAATGAAAGGTTTTCAAACCCACCTTTGCCAACGCCTCGTCTCTTAGGACCCAGAGTTCAACAACACAGATCAGATTGACCTGTATGATGACGTGTTGACAGCCACTTCACAGCCCTCAGATGACAGAAGCAGCAGCACTGAGCCACCTCCTCCTGTTCGCCAGGAGCCATCTCCCAAGCCCAATAACAAGACCCCTGCAATTCTGTACACCTACAGTGGCCTGCGCAATAGGCGAGCTGCTGTCTATGTGGGCAGTTTCTCCTGGGTGAGCCTGGGTAACCAAAAAGGCTTGGGTGGGTTGGAGGGAGAGCACTGGGAGGTGATGGCATTTTCAGAAACCACTGTTGCACTGTTTTGTGCTCTGATGGGGTTGGATTTCTTTTTCCTGGGATCAGGTTGGATTGATCTCTGAAAGAGAACTATCCTGAGGACGTACTGGTGCCGAAGAAAGCAATGATTAAGTGGGTAGTTGCTTTTTCTGCCATCTTGTTACTGCCCCTGACCCTGGGGCTTTATGTCTACCAGGGTCATCTGTGGGATGAGATTTCAGAGTGAACACCTTGAACTCTTGGTGGTCATTAGATGGTCCTGTGATAATGATGGGTGAGAGGGAGCAAAGACCTTGATAGCTGTAGTACACTCGGGGTAGGTGGTGATTGTTGTTCTGCAAAAGTTACTGTGTGACATGTTTTGGGGCTGGTGATGGGAGGTGGTTTTTTCCAAGTTAAGAATTGTACATACTGAGGGGAAAGTTGTTGACAGTGATCAACTCTGGCCTGCCAGATCTCCAACTAAAAGCTGCTAGTAATCAGTGTTTGAACTGATGTTCCACATGGCAGTCAGAGTTAGAATAGGTTTTAATTTTCTTAGTCTCAGATATGGGGATTGGGGCAGAGGTGGGTGGTTTGCAGTTCTGTCTGGGTGAGGACAATATTAAAACCTGCTCTCATTGACATCCTGATGACCTTCTGGGTTTCCTGTGGGGGGTCATGGTTATGACTAGACTCTTAGGTTTGGGGGAAGGGTTTGGGACATTCTGGGGGAGGGGTATAGCTCTTGACATTTCTTCCTTTTCCATCTTGCCGGCCCCAGTGGACCACAGACCAGCAGCTGATCCAGGTTATTCGCTCTATAGGAGTCTATGATGTGGTGGAGTTGAAATTTGCAGAGAATCGAGCAAATGGCCAGTCCAAAGGGTGAGGTCTGGATTTGAGAAGCCCTTTTTAGTTTGTAACCATTGGGATAACAGATCTGTACTGTTATTTTGGCCCTGTAATTTAATCCCTCCCACCCTGGCCCAGTTTACTGCCTTGGTTTAGAAAAACCACCTTAGAATGGGGACCTCACTGCGAGGTAGGAGAACATCCATCCATTGAAGGGCAAAGCTGGTTTCTAATTTGAAATAGGAAAATTTTAGACTGACACTTTTTGTTGTTGATAGTTTTGTATATGTAATATAAGCAGGGTATCCTTTGCTTTACCAAAAGTGGAAGAGAATTTCTGTGTTTTCTTGCTTGATTGTCTAGTAGATCTCACACATTTTTAATTTTTCTTCCTCAAGATATGCTGAGGTGGTGGTAGCCTCTGAAAACTCTGTCCACAAATTGTTGGAACTTCTGCCCGGAAAAGTTCTTAATGGAGAAAAAGTGGACGTGAGGCCGGCCACCCGGCAGAACCTGTCACAGTTTGAGGCACAGGCTCGGAAACGTGAGTGCGTCCGAGTCCCAAGAGGGGGTACGTGGAGACCATCTGTATGCGGGGGGGGGGGTATTTTGTGGGTTTGTTTTCTGTGCTGTAGGCTTGGCCTACATTGTGGAGGAGTGTGAGGGAGGGTGGTAGTGATTGTGGGTGGCAGCATGGCAGTAGGTGAGCTAAAAATGAGACTTACGTGCCAGGAATCAGGTAGTTCAGATTATACATTTCTGCTGCTAACTCATGTGACCTTGGGCAAATCACTTCACTGTTGAGGGCCTACTTCCCCATTTGAACTGGACACAGTGTATAAAGTTCCTGTCACGTCTGAATTATGTGTTTCTGTTTAAAAAATCAGTATATAGCAAATGGACTTACTTGTAAGACATGTCTTTCTATCAAATACTAAGCAACCACGTTAAAATATAAATATGGTACATAAAGATGGCTGTAATCTTGTTATGAACATACATTGGAAGGGTACTCTTTAAGGAATCAACCAAAAGAAATGCTGGAGAGTAAAAATTTAACAGTGTTTCTCCAGCATTGACCAGGGGGGTTGGGTACCCTTTTGATTACCTGCTATTTTAGTTCACTTGGCAAGTGTTTCCTGTTAGTAAAGGATGTTGCATCATGCCGCATTAGCCTGATGATGGTATGCCTTAAGTTCACCTTACTCCCTTTATTCTGACCCCATTCTCACCGAGCCATCTTCTGATACTAATTTGGTTTTCCAACTAAGGTCTTCTGCTGGGAAGAGAATGCACTGACCAGCCGACATGAATATTCCAGTCTGCTTGGCAGTTGTATTTCTCATTGTAAATTTAAAAATTGGCATTTTGGTTTAAGAATCAGTCTCTTGTGAATTTGAACAGTGTGAATCAATCTCCTAGGGTCCAGTCACCCCTGGGCCACTGTTAAAATCTGTGTCTGAACCTGTGAAACCTGGGAACCAGCTTTGGATTGTCATGACCTCACAAGGTGCAGCTACCCTGCCTGAAACAGCCAACTGTCATTACTTGCCTTTTACTACAGTGGGGGCGATGGCAAAGTTTTGTTACCTACTTTGTGTAACTGCTTAAGTCCTTCTCTCAAAATAGTGCCTTGTGTTGAATAGTCTACTGGGACCTTGGATAGATTGATTGTAGGTGGAAATAAGGTCACTTAACTCTTGCATAGGAACGACTATGTTCTTATAAGTAGATTGAGAGCCTAGATGGAAGTGTTGTGAGCTTCTATTGCTCTGTGTTAGAAGACACTACTTTTCTTCCTTGATAATGTGAATTTTCAGAGTGCATTCTGTTTCAGAGTCATTGATTCAGCCCTCTTCTGACTTCCGTAAGATGTATAATTTTACATTTGTGTTGAATGCCTAATTGTCCTAGGTGTAAACCACTGGGCTGTTTACTCCTGGGTTTTACCTTTCTTTGCTGGAATGATGGTGGTGATTGAGTTGTATTTTTCTGCTCTGTCATATTGATATAGTTGGACTCTGTTAATTCACTCAGTACAGCTGGTTGACAGTCTGCTTAAAAATGGTTGCTACTTTTGGGATTTGTAGCCATAGCTACAAAGAAAAAAGAACCCTTGCTGATGTGGGAACAGTAGCTGGGAAGGTAGCTAACTTTCAGGGGATTACACTTGCTAGTATTCTTTCTTCAGTTTGAGAGAACTCAGGGAAGAAGCAAGTTGCCATGTGTGTGAGACATGAAAAGCACAAGAATGCTGTGGTAGGTACTGGTGATAAACTACATTAGAGAAACCAAGGTGGTTGCCAAAGGGATTAATTCCACTTAATGCTTTCATCAGGAGTTAGGGTTTACTAACAAGTTTTTGTTTAAGGAGCACTCTTCTTTTCTCCTCTCCACACTTGTCTCCTGATGGCATCTTTTTACATACAAGACTCCCAAGGCCATGTGATCACATTCTTCTTTTGGATTTCACATCAACTAGGCTTAGCGTAGACTATTAAATTGGAAAAAGGGAACAAGTTTAACCCAAGTGACTCGACAGTATCAGAGCCACGTTTCCAACAGTATGCAGACATGTTTTGAGTCCATTTTGCACAATAACATACCACTGAACCATGATCATGTTCCTAGAAGGCTGCCCTGTGGGGTTGAGGGTTGGGACTGCTGAAATATAGTAGGAGTCTCCCAGATTTCAGACATATTTTGTACCAAGCTTTTGCAAGGAGTCCCTGATGTCAGCTGTGTGCCATCTGCTCATTCTATGAGCTGATCTTTTCTTGGCTTATCTCCCACTTTCTGTCATTTAACTTCCAGTCTTCCACTTTTTGTCCTATGTCTTCCTCATCCCAGTTACCAGTTTTGGTACTTGAATGGAAGAAGTGTTGTCCATGCCCTGCCTGTCTCTCTTTTCCTCCAAATTCACTGGCAAAAGTGCCAAGGCAAAGAGAAAATTTCAAATATATAGCCGGATAGAAAAGGTTAACTGCTATAAGCCAAGGAAAGAGTCCCTGAAATCCTACCAGAGAAAATGAGATTTTTAATCTGCTTGAATCCAGCTAAACAGTAATGAACATATTTCAACACTGTCATTTTTCTCGTGGGTTATTAAGAAGTGTTCTGCATTTAAAAATAAAAAACAAATTTAAGGATAATTTAAATGTGAAGCACTGAGAGTTCTAGATAAAAAGAATTCTTTAGCACACAGAATTTAGGGTGGTACTGCTTCCTGGGTTTATGTCTGAACTAGGCTGCCTCTGACCTTTCTGAGGCAGTAGATGATTTTACCTTCTTCCTCAGCCACCTGTCACCTTCCTTAGTGTGGTGTCAGATGACTCTTGCTGACGGATGAACTTGTCCCATGGTTATGTTTAAGGCTTGGGCAGTAACAGTAATTCCTTTTTCTTCGTAGGAATACCTCCACGGGCCCATTCCCGAGATTCTAGTGATTCTGCTGATGGACGGGCCACACCCTCTGAGAACCTTGTGCCCTCATCTGCCCGTGTGGATAAGCCCCCCAGTGTGCTGCCCTACTTTAATCGCCCTCCTTCAGCCCTTCCCCTGATGGGCCTGCCCCCACCCCCCATTCCACCCCCACCACCTCTCTCCTCAAGCTTTGGGGTCCCTCCTCCTCCTCCTGGCATCCACTACCAACATCTCATGCCCCCTCCTCCTCGATTACCTCCTCATCTGGCTGTACCACCCCCCGGGGCCATCCCACCTGCCCTTCACCTCAATCCAGCCTTCTTCCCCCCACCAAATGCCACAGTGGGGCCTCCACCAGATACTTACATGAAGGCCTCAGCACCCTATAACCACCATGGCAGGTAAGGACTATCTTGTTCCTTTCAAATCTGAGCCAGGCATAGCAGGGTAGACAGTGTGTTAAGTTTATTTTGTTCTCCCCAAGGAAGTAAGTGAGCACTGAACTATTGTTTTTCCCTTGTGGAAATTCTGTTGTCATAGTATTGAGTCCTGGGAAATAGTTGACTACCTGTTAGAGAATGTTTTTATTTGGTATTTTGTTTGCATCTTAACCTCTCACCCAAACTGTGTCTTTTGTATCCCTTTTTCGGGTGGTTGATTAAATTGAGTGCTCTGAGTCACTGTTATGAGTGCTATGAGTGTCTAGCACTATGGGGTCATGCCAAAATTGTAAAAGTATGCCACATAAATCCTGTCTTTGAAGAGAACATTAACATATAAAACATGTGAACAGGCTGAGAATCATTTAAGACAGCATACAGGAGAGTGTAATTAAATAGCATAGTACTCTAGAGGATGGTAAAATAACACTGGGTGTGGGTAGTCAGGAGTGATATTATCTCTGTATTTCTATGTGCAGCCGAGATTCGGGCCCTCCGCCCTCTACAGTGAGTGAAGCAGAATTTGAAGACATCATGAAGCGGAACAGAGCAATTTCCAGCAGTGCCATTTCCAAAGCTGTATCTGGAGCCAGTGCAGGTAACTCATCCTTAGCTTTGCTGCCTTCTGCTTACTTTTAGTTTTGTCATTTCCATTGGTAAGAAGTTCAGGATAAAATTGGAGCACTGGTACATTTTGAAAATCAATAATAACCTGGTTTTGGGCTTTTGGGGAGCTCCACTGATACTATTTAGCCTGCCCTATGAAAACCAACTTAGTGCATAGAATATAAATAAATAATACTATCTCATTGTGGTGTTTCCTGCCTCCTGGAAATCTTGATCTTAGTGGTTGATCACTGGGTCTAGTGTCTATGTACACCTTGGGTTTTTAGAACTGATAATGATGGTTGATATGGAATCTGGTTATATTTGAGGATCGAGGCAGAGCTGATGGCATCCATGTAGCCTGTCCTAGAAAGAGACAAATCTGTTGGGTGTCATCTTAAGGCATGATACACCCTTACAGCTAACTTTTGCCCTGCTGTCAGTATTAAGTGGGCAGAACCAGCAGCCATGCTTTTGAGAGCTGAGGAAACAGAATCTTTGGTTCCTAAGAGAAGAGCATATAGAGAGTTTCCTGATTCTGATCCAAGTTTCACATTGTAACACTAATCATATTCACTTTCTTCCTGTAAGTTACCCACATGAATGTAGATATAGATTGTCATATTTAAGAAATAACTATTTTCGTCCATTTTCCATAATTTCTCATCTTTACTATGAAATCTGAATGCAGAGTAAAGACAGAAAGCAAGTATATATTCTCTTTTTTCCACTGGAAATTTTCATTGACATCTGAGTAAATCTCTTTAAGTTAAAAAGTTATGTATGCTCATTTTAGTAAGTCAGATACACAGTGTAAAGAAAAACAGTCATTGTTCTCCACCGATTCCTTCACATTGAGATGATCAGTAAGTGAACCTCTGTCTCCTCCCTTTGTTTTGTTTTCATTTCAGTCATTCAAACCACAGATATTTATTTACTGCCTACAGAACAGGCAAAAATTCCCTCCCCTGGTCGAGCCAAAATCCCAGCATTCCTTGGCCTCCACAGAATTGCAGTTCTTCCACAGTCTGTTTTGTTCTTTACTATTCTGCAGGAGGAAGCTGCTGGTCCTGTTCACTGGACCCCTGCCTGGTTTCATGCTTTCCTTGCATTATCTTGTCCTTAAGGCTCTTGGCAATACAAGAAAGCTTTAGTTAGGAAGTGTGCAGGTACCCACCCCGACCACTATCCATGAGTCTGAGTATTGCTCAGATGGGTGAAGGAGCTAGTTCTTCATGGCAGCATAATTTAAAATGTGCGTGTGTCCGAGGAAACCAGATCTGAAAGAGACACGTGCACCCCAATGTTCATCGCAGCACTGTTTATAATAGCCAGGACATGGAAGCAACCTAGATGCCCATCAGCAGACGAATGGATGAGGAAGCTGTGGTACATATACACCATGGAATATTACTCAGCCATTAAAAAGAATTCATTTGAATCAGTTCTAATGAGATGGATGAAACTGGAGCCCATTATACAGAGCGAAGTAAGCCAGAAAGATAAAGACCATTACAGTATACTAACACATATATATGGAATTTAGAAAGATGGTAACGATAACCCTATATGCAAAACAGAAAAAGAGACTCCGATGTATAGAACAGACTTGTGGACTCTGGGAGAAGGCGAGGGTGGGATGTTTCAAGAGAACAGCATTGAAACACGTATATTATCTAGGGTGAAACAGATCACCAGCCCAGGTTGGGTGCATGAGACAAGTGCTTGGGCCTGGTGCACTGGGAAGACCCAGAGGGATCAGGTGGAGAGGGAGGTGGGATGGGGGACCGGGATGGGGAATACATGTAAATCCATGGCTAATTCATTTCAATGTATGACAAAACCCACTGCAATGATGTAAAGTAATTAGCCTCCAACTAATAAAAATAAATGGAAAAAAAAAAGGGGGGGGAGATGTAGGAGATAGGAAGAATAAAAGAAAAGCAGGCTCCAGCAAGGGCCACAAAAGAAATTTATAATTATTGATAAACTGGATGCTATAAGGCATGAGACTCTTGGAACGAGTCCAGAGGGAACAGTTCATAATCTTGAAAAGAAGATATGATCCTGGGATCAGAAAACCGACCCCAGACTATTTCTCAACCGGCGTCTGAGAGTCACGTGTTTTACGTATCTAGTGGAAAATCTATCAATAAAAATAGTAGTCTTAGTTACTGAAAAAAAAAAAATAATAAAAATAAAAAAAATAAAATGTGTGTGTGTGTGTGTGTATGCACACAACATAATGTGTTTTAACTATATGTTACTTTTGTGTATATACATATTTGGTTATAGATTACAAATAATTCAGACAGAACTATGCAGTGTTAATAAATGAAAGACTTTTCTATAAGAACTGTCAGTAAGACTACCATGCACAATGTAGTTTCTGTCCTTCAGATTTTTTTTTAATGCATCATATATATATAATTTTGATTGTTTTTACAAAAATGGAATACTGTTTCACAGCTTTTTAACAATACTCTGATCATCTATTATATAGCTAATACCTAACATTTATTGAGCCCTTACTGTGTGCCTGGCACTGTGCTTAAGTGCTTTACATGGATTGCTTTGTTTACATCCAGGTTTATTACCTTGTGCTTTTTAACAACTGTGTAATATTCTGTAGAACCAATGTTCCTTAATTTATATAGTCAAACCCTATTGAAGAAACAACCCTAAGTTGTTTCTGATTCTTTAATACAACAAATGATGCTAAAATGAACATTGTTTAAATTATATGCTTGTGAGCAGAAGTTGAAAATTTTTAGAATTGCTAGGTCAAAAAGTGCACATTGTTTATTATAATGGGTGTTGTCAAATAGCCTGCAGACAATGACATACCAGTTTATACATCCATTAGCAGTATCTGAGAGCATCTGTCTGATTCCAGACCATTGGAATATCAGTTCCATACAGTTTTATACTTGCCACTTTGCCTCATCCACTATACTGTGGTTCTGTGGGACAGCTAGTTACTCTTGGTTTGTGTTCTCCTGAGTTCTCCTTTCCATCAGTTAGTTTACTGCCTCTGCTCATCCTTGGCCTTTCCCATCCATCCCCTGTCAGGGGATTACAGTGACGCGATTGAGACGCTGCTCACAGCCATTGCTGTTATCAAACAGTCCCGGGTCGCCAATGATGAGCGTTGCCGTGTCCTCATCTCCTCTCTTAAGGACTGTCTTCATGGCATTGAAGCCAAGTCTTACAGTGTGGGTGCCAGCGGGAGCTCGTCCAGGTGAGTTGATAATTGCTCCAGTGGCGGCTAGCCCTGAGCAGCATTTTCCCAGGGGTTGGCAGGGGGAGGAAAGGCACACAGGGTATCTGGCAAGGACCTGGCTAAAAGAGCAGACCTAGCCCTCCTGCCTTTAAGGGGAAGAAATTGGTCAAATGTTTACATTAATAAATGTAATGTCTGAAATCTGTGTTGGGTGAGGAAATGGACTTATTTAGAAAGAAAGACCAATGTAGTTAAGAACATGGCCTTTGGAGCCATACATTCTTGGATTTGAATTCTGCTCCTAACTATCTGTGTGACCTTGAATGTGAAAGTTACTCAACTTTTGAAGTCTTATTTTTCTCATTTTTAGAAAGAGGACAGTGATAGTACTTATCTTACAGATCTGTTGTAAAGATTAGGTGAAATAAAGCATGTGAAGCTCTTAGCACTGTGCCTGATACATTAGTAAGTCTCAACAAATTTGTTCTTATTTTCTTTAAAAGACTAGTCCTTAAAGAGCTAACATCCTCAGACAGTGGGCCCATGATAGCGTAATAGAAGAGTGGTTTAACAAATAATAGGAGACACCAAAACACCATATTCTTGAAAAACAATGGGGTAGGTCTTCTGAGTGAGGCTGAAAAGAATCTTTCTAATAGGAAAAGACATCGGTCCCGAGAGAGGTCACCAAGCCGGTCCCGGGAAAGCAGCAGGAGGCACCGGGACCTGCTTCATAATGAAGATCGGCATGATGATTACTTCCAAGAAAGGAACCGAGAGCACGAGAGACACCGGGATAGGGAACGGGACCGGCACCACTGAGAAAGGTGGGACAAAGCCCCGTCGCTGGCTTGTTGGTGATTTCTTATGAAAGAAAAAATATTGATCGTAAAGGTTTCTCCCTCCTTTTAAAGCAGGTAAAGGGGATGGGAGGACTTCCCATTTACATAACCAGAAACTCAGGAGGGCAGATTTTCTGCTTGTCTGTGAGATGTCTCACCTTGAAATGGACCTGAGATTAAGCTATTTTTGCTTTTTTTTTTTACTGCTTTCACTTGACATGGTATAATGGCTAAGAACACAGTGTCTTCAGGTTACAAATCCCATCTCCTCCAGCCATATTATTTTCTGTTCCTCAGTTTCCTCATTTGTAAGTGAAAATAATAAAAACAACTGCCTCATTGGATTGCTGAGTATTCAATGAGCTAATTCCATATAGAGCATTTAGCTGTCATAGTATCTGTCACATAGTAAGTTCTCAATAAATGATAGCTTTTGTTACTGTTATTGTTATATTTTATTTTTCGCCATGCCAGGTGTGGGATCTTAGTTCCCTGACCAGAATTTGAACCTGTGCACCTTGCATTGGCAGTGCAAAGTGTTAACCACTGGACCGCCAGGGAAGTCCCTCACTGTTGTATTTTAACCCCACCAAACTTTCAAATGAAAAAATCAGGGAAATTGACCAAGACAGAAAAAAGAAAAGTAAGACCATTGCCTACTTGGAAGTTTTCAAGGTGCAACATTAATAATTTTTTAGAATTAATATCTATTTTAAAAGATTTTGAAAATCAGGATACTTTAGTTAGAGAGGAGAAAGCGGATCTGGAAAAAAATTATCTTTAAAGCTTTAGAGACCATGTGGAGAATACTTCAGTGGCAGAATATGTAAAACTCCCTGACAGCATTTTTTTTTTTTTTTAATCAAAGCAAAAGCCAGGAGGGTTGGGGGCAGGGAACTAAATATGTTAACTCAAGTAATTGAAAAGTTGAGATAGGCTTCGCTGGATCGAGGGACCTTAGCTCATTATTTTCATTCTCAGACACGCTCTAAGTTACATCCCACCAGCTTGGCAATCCCACGTGAAACCAAGCTTCCAACAAAGATTGTTTCTGGTACATAAGCAAGCAGGAGCAGTTGTTACCTCTGTTTCTTTGGAGATCTTTAAAAGTGGTCTAGACTCTGGTGGTGATGGTCTGTTTGTGGTTCCTAAGGCTGTTGCATGACCCAGGTGACTTTGGGGTCTCTTCTCAATTTTATGGTTTCACATCAAGTACATTAGGAAAGTGTTCTTGGTTTTGGCCAGTTTGGTTGGTCTGAAGTCATGGTAGTTGAGGAGGGTGAAGAGTTGGCGTAGTTCTGCTTCATGTCTTTGGGGTGGATACATGGCGGACTGGGTGAAAAAGGGAAAAGAACGCCCGTCCCCCTTCTGTGAGCGCCTGTCGTTCACAAGCAGTGGCTGGACTGCAAACTGTTGGCCTAATGATAACCCACCAAACTAATGAGAAAGGAGTCTTGTTATATTCAGCTACTGCCCTCTAGTTAGTTGTTTGACATTGTCTGCCATCAACCTAAGCAGAGGGACTTCTCTAGTCATCCAGTGACTGAGACTCTGTGCTCCCAGTGCAGGGGTCCCAGGCTTCATCTCTGGTCAGGGACCTGGATCCTGCATGCTCCTACTGAGACCCAACAACAGCCAAATAAATAATTTTTTTTTTTTAAACTTATGCAAAGTTGTAGTTGGGAATTCTTTTTGTCTTTTTCTGTAGACAGCAGATATATGGGGAAATGAAAATAACTAACATTTTTTACCTGCCTCCCTTCTCTGTCCTCGTTTATTCCACAATCTTGAAGTACTTGATATTAATGGGAATCTAAGATACTCCTCAGAAAATCAGCAGTTAGGCTGTGGGTTCTAGATAACTTCTTTCTAGATTTTGCAATAGGTTGAGTTTTGAGAAGTGCCCATATATCTTCCAGAAAAGCAGGCTTCAAGAGCGGTGGAGCCCACAGATAGCTTTGGCCTAATTCAGTCTCAGGGTGGGCAGGAGGGTGGGTTGAGTGGGTCTTTTGATTGAGTTCTTCCCTCCTGTAGCAGTAGCAGCACTTCTTGTCTTGTTGGAGCTACCACAGTTGCTAGTGTTGCTTATAGGTTCAGTGTCAGTCACCATCCTCCCCCAATCCTGCAGCCCACCATGTGTGTCCTTTGCAGCTAGCTATAAGAGTGACCAGGGAGGTGTTACTTGGTCTGTGCAAAGCATGGGGCCACACTCAGCTTCATAGTCGGAATGTGTAACTTCACGTCACTGTTCTTGGCGGCTTTGCTTGTCTGACAGCCCTTGATAGAGAACTTGTGAGGTCCACTGATGACTAGAATTTTGGGGGTTGAACATCTGAACCTTAGACTTTATTTTTATTTTTTATTTTTTTGAACCTTAGACTTTAAAAGCTATCATCTTGCTTCGTTTTATCCACCTATAAAATGGGAGTTTTCTTCCATTATGGGATGGTTCAATTTGGATATCTCTGAAAAATCCTGTAACCCAGTAGTTCCCAGAAAACAGTGATTTGGCTGGTGCAGGCCTATGACAGATGAGGAAAAGAGTCTTGAGACAGGTTTTCTAGTTCCCCAGTTTTCCTAGTCATCCTTTAGATACGTTGGTTATTCCATCTGGATAATTAGTCTCATTTACCGTAAGAACTTCCAAGCTCTGTGTACAATACCTTTTAGTTATTAAAAAAAATAGTATTTATATTGTATGGACAGGTGTTCCTGAGAGCAAAGGGTATGTTCTATCTAGAGGCAGCAAAAAACAGCAGCCTTTTTTTTTGTCTATGCTTCCTCAGGATGGCCCCAACCTCTGAGGCTTAAAGTCTGATTGACCCACTTTGGCCTCAGTCTATTCAAACTTCACCACCAAAATGGAGCCATAACCTCTAAGAAGTGGGTGCTATTCAGTTGATCCTTGAGCAGTGTAGGGGTTAGGGGAGCCAACCTCTGTGTAGTTGAAAATTTGAGTATAACTTTACAATCAGCCCTCCCATTTCTGTGGTTTCGCATCCATAGATTTCAACCAACCTCAGATTATATAGTATTGTAGTATGAATTTATTCAAAAAATTCTGCATATATGTGGACCAGTGCAGTTCAAACCTGTATTTTTCAATGGTCAATTGTAGTTTACTTCTGATGCACTAGTTTTCCTTTGAGTCTTGTTTTGTAGGAGCAGTTCCCAAATCACATCTCTTTTGTGGTATATATGTGTATGCTTTGGAGTGTGAGGATATTCTTAGGTAGTCTGTGGCGCTGACTTTTTGTAGTTGTTTTAAGACATTATCCTGCATGATATATATTTATTCTCACTTCATTGCAATCCTCCTGATCCAGTTAAAGCTGAGCATTCTGTTCAGTTTTGGTCTAATACAAAGATTGGGAAACGCATGGATATAAACTGAGAAGACCCTGAGAGCTTTCATTCCTCGTATAGAAATTGAGAGAGACATGTGCACACACAGACGTTTAGAGAAACCAGAGGCCGTGACAGGCTCTGAGGACCCCAGGCTGAAATAGTGCCAGTGCAGAGTGTAGAAGGATCAGGCAGCTTACAAGTGTATTTTTTCTTTGGCTAGCTCCTCCATGTTACGTAAGTGCACACATTAAGGTTGAGCCTTTATGTATAGGCCATGTACCAGCTTGGGCACTAGTTTAAATCTTCAGCCCAAATTTCATTCCCCCTTTTCCTTTTCACCATCAGTTCTATCTTATATGGTAAGATTGCCAGGCCACCCCCTACAGACTGGTATCACAGCATTGGAACAAGGGCTGTGTACTGGGGACCTAAAGTTTGGTCAAGATGTGCAAGTGATGTAACAGTGCTTTACTGTTGAGCAGATCTTAACTGTGCTTTTAGTGTTCTTGGATGGTGACTACTGATTGTTTTCTTTGATTTCCTGCTCTGCTTTCTGTTCTGGCCAGATCACTCCTGATTGGTGTTGGAGTGCTTCTTGGTCCCTCCCCTACAGCCGTCACCTGAGGGAAGACTTAAAATCTCTTGAGTTTTAGTACAACTTAGAACATCCCTGGCTCTATGTGTATAGCTATGTGTATGCTTCTTTAAAAGGAGAAAAGTTTATACACTTTCGTGTATAAGTGCATACTCCCTGCTAGGGCCTCTTAGGTATTTGGGGATTAATGGATTTGGTTATGTACATGCCTGTTTTCTTACCACTGTACCTCCCATTTCCAGATTTTTCCCCTTTCCCTAAGGTAAGCTATGACTTGCTCAGAATAGATTTTCTGAAATAGTATTTAAAGTCACCATGCTCCCTTACAGCAACTTTTCTTGAAATGTAGTAGTTTCCATACTTTTCCAGGTAAAGTCCCCTTTCCAGTCAGACTGCTTTGATTCCTCATTTCGTTGTCAGTGTTCTTCCCTCTAACCTTAAAGTAAGACGTACTCCTTTTTCCTCTCTTCTCCTCCAGCCATTCCCTCACTACTCACAGTGCCAGACATTCCCAGACAGTTCTCCTGTTTTTTACTTTCCCACGTGTGCATTCTCTGTCTGCATCCCCTACTTCATACGTTTTAACTTTAGAAAATGCCACTATAATTTTTTATAAGCCCTTGTTAATCAGAAAGTAACCTCTAACTTGTGCTTTCTTTCTTCCCTTCTGATGTTCTCATTACAGGAGTCTGGTTGGAAGCTAATGTTTTTTTAATGGACTTGCATCTCCTCACCTTGATCAGGACTAAAGGACGGAGGCCGCTCCACCCCTTCCCCTTCCTCCAAGCCCCTAACCCCTCCAGACACCCAGGGAATACCCTCTACCCTACAGGATTGAAGATTGCCTGGCAGCCCTCCCAGTCCCACTCCTTTTTGCCAGGGTAAAGAACCTAAAGACTTCATGTGGTTGGGAGGGTGGAAGACAGGAAGAAACCATGTCCAGGTCCCTGGTCTCCATAGAGAATGGTGCTTTGTCCAAGGAAACGTATTGAGTTTCTGATTCTCCAGGAGCAGTTCAGTGGTGAGGTTGATGGGAA